GCATAATCGCAGATCAGTGTTGTGATGAAATTAAGGCGAAGAACAGTTTGTTAGTGCACAGTGGCTGCAGTGCTCATGGTCAGAGATACATCAAGTGTGGAAGAGACTAATGTGAATTTTAGCTGATGATGAATTCCAACTTTATAGCATCTAGAAAAAAAGACAGCATAACCGGTTACTGTCAGTGAAGAGGATATAAATCAGCCAGGACAACTCATGAAACATCTTGTTCAATCAGGTTCTACAATGTAGGCATCAGAAAATAAAGATTCTTTTTAAAATTTTCCTCATTTTTTTGTTTAGAAATTAAAGTAAAATTTGTATTCCCCTCTTCTAATATTAGAAGATTTATCATTACATTAGTATAACACAAAAAACAGCTGGTAGAAACATAATTCAAAGAGCTACTTTTACTTGCTTACTTAGATTTCAGACCCTGTACTTTTTAACTTTTACTTGAGTAAAGAAATTGAATCAGTACTTTAACTTTTGCTGGACTGTTTTTAGACAGTTGTATCTGTACGTCTGATGAAGTATAGGATTTCTGTACTTTTGCCACGACTATTGTTAGTGCCATCAAGTGTTGTTTACTAATATGACAAGTGAGAGAGCAGTCTGCTCGGAGACATATGAAGCGCTTTACCCTGGTTAATGGCAAAGCTAAGGTAGGGGTAGCAAAAACATAGGCACTGCTGAGATTGCAGGTTTCTGGCTACTGAGCCACTGCTAAGTAATCATCACTAAAGTAGTTTCTCTTGGCCACACTGGCCTTAGAAGTCCCTTTGTTTTGTGAATCCAGTTAAAACAAATGTGAAAGATAATCTAGTCTTATGTGCCTTTAGCAGTGACATTTAGATGAGCTAAATATGATTCTTGTAGTGTTTGAACATCTCAACTGTCTCAACTGTTAATGTTTATATTGTTGGCACTATTGGGACATACACTCAACAAAAATATAAACGCAACACCTTTGTTACTGCTCCCATTCCCCATGGGATGGACGTAGAGACCTAAAATTCATTCCAGATACACAATATAACCATCCCTCCCAAACAGTGGTCACAAATCAGTCCAAATGTGTGGTAGTGGGCACATCTGCTATATTGAGATAATCCATCCCACCTCACAGGTGTGCCACATCAGGATGCTGATCTGACATCATGAGTAGTGCACAGGTGTACCTCAGACTGCCCACAACAAAAGGCCACCCTGGAATTTACAGTTTTTTGCGCTATTGGGGGTCTGGGGACCCAGAACCGGTCAGTATCTGGTGTGACCACCATTTGCCTCATGCAGTGCAACACATCGTCGCATGGAGTCTATCAGATTGTCAATTGTGGCCTGTGGAATGTTGGTCCACTCCACTTCAATGGCTGTGCGAGGTTGTTGGATATTCGTGGGAACCGCTGTCGTATACGCCGGTCAAGCACATCCCGAACATGCTCAATGGGTGACATGTCCGGTGAGTATGCTGGCCATGCAAGAACTGGGACATTCTCAGCTGCCATCTGCCCTGAACAATGTGAACCATGATTCATCCGTGAAGCGCACACCTCTCCAACGTGCCAGACGCCATCGAATGTGAGCTTTTGCCCACACAAGTCTGTTACAGCGACGAGCTGGAGTCAGGTCAAGACCCCGATGAGGACGACGGGCATGCAGTTGAGCGTCCCTGAGACGGTTTCTGACAGTTTGTGCAGAAATTGTTTGGTTGTGAAAAAACCAATTGTTCCAGCAGCTGTCTGGGTGGCTGGTCTCAGACGATCTTGGAGGTGAACCTGCTGGATGTGGAGGTCCTGGGCTGGTGTGGTTACACGAGGTCTGCGGTTGTGAGGCCGGTTGGATGTGCTGCCATATTCTCTGAAACGCCTGTGGAGACGGCTTATGGTTGAGAAATGAACATTCAATGCACGGGCGACAGATCTGGTTGACATTCCTGCTGTCAGCATGCCAATTGCACGCTCCCTCATTGCTTGTGGCATCTGTGGCATTTTGCTGTGAGACAAAACTGCACATTCCAGGGTGGCCTTTTGTTGTGGGCAGTCTGAGGTACACCTGTGCACTACTCATGATGTCAGATCAGCATCCTGATGTGGCACACCTGTGAGGTGGGATGGATTATCTCAATATAGCAGATGTGCCCACTACCACACATTTGGACTGATTTGTGACCACTGTTTGGGAGGGATGGTTATATTGTGTATCTGGAATGAATTTTAGGTCTCTACGTCCATCCCATGGGGAATGGGAGCAGTAACAAAGGTGTTGCGTTTATATTTTTGTTGAGTGTAAGAGTGGGGTGGACTCTGCTTCTGATTTGATTATTGCAAAAGTCATGAAATGTAATATATTGTAGCTGTCTACCCGGCAATGACAGCTCTGCTGCTAGCATGGCGGCGGAGAGGGAATTTGTATTTGAAAGACTATCAGTGTAAGATGATGACAATGTGTTACACAGACTGCTGAAGCCGCATTTGCTTAGGACTGATCTTCCTGGGCTATTTTGGATCAGATGTTAACAAATTGTCATGTTTAAAAGAATTCATAGCTAATCGCTAAAACACACACACACACACACACACACACACACACACACACACACACACACACACACACACACACACACAGTATATATCCAGCAGTCAAATTCATCTTTTTGTTTTGTGATTGGAGGCCGTGTTGTTGAGTGTACAGATTAGGCCTCTGTAACCATAACTAAACCTAAAACGAACAAGAACATTTACATAATTGATAATTATGTATTATTAACATTATACCCTATAAATCTTTCACTTTTTCTTAATGTCACTGTTATCTTAAAACTGCATCCAGACATGCAAGGCTAGTAGTGCATATGCAGTACTGTGCAAAAGTCTTGAGCCGCCCTTCGTTTCTTTATATTTTACCTCCAAGCAGATTTTCTTGTAACTTAAAACTTAAAGCGGTCTTGAGCAACAGTTCTCTAGGCTTTCTGAAGTCTTTCAAATGTTGTCTTTGGACATTGGCTGCCCTTTCCCTCATGTTCTAGTTCAGTCCTTGTAGCTGATCATCTAGAAAGCATCTTTAATATCAACTTCATTTTCAGCATGACAATAATCTCAGTGGTCATGCAGTAAGATGATATCTGAACAGAAAAACACCCAAAAAGTCCTTCAAGAACCCCGGAGAACTACTCCTAAAGACTACTTAAATAAACTGAACAAAGCTTGTGGAAGAGAGTTCAGGATTTGTAGAATAAAGGTGGTTATACTAATTATTGAGAGGTTTTTTTGCACAGTACTGTAGACTAGCATGACACTCCCATGGTACCAATAGTAATGCAAATAATATTTTCAGACAGCCTTAAAAAACAGCAAACTAATCCACAATAATTTCTTTAAATAATGAATCTATTCTGTGTATCTCCACATATTTAGATGTAAAATCTGGTAAAAAGCCTAAAAACATTCCTCTTAAGTCTCTCTAAAAGCAAGCGAGATCTTTGCTGTGTTGTGTGTGGCTAGCACTGTTGGTCTCTGGCAGTAGTGTGGATCTGAGCAGGCTGTTCAATAATTTAGCATTAATGCAGATTATGGCAGGACTGGCCCCCTCAAAGCAGATTAGAGTCCCTGCCTGTCTGCCGGCTGCCTGTCTGTCACCTTGTTAAAGATGGTACATGGATCATATGCAGTTTGTATTCTGCGGGTGAGGTGTGTTATGTATCACTGCAGATGTACGAAAAGGGTAAATGTGTAGTTATCATAGTAGTTTTGTAGTTTTGGGAGGATGTAACACTCCTGCTCTTTCCCTGTCTATAAGTAGTGGGAAAATGTGCAGGGTAAGGGTGAGTATCTGTGACCTCAGTTTCCCTTGGTTACAACATTTACAGAGAACAGTAGCAGCTTCGGGCTGTTCAAATTTTAATCTGCTCTTTGCCTGAAGAAACACACACCGAACAAATTGTACTTCTAATAATGAGAAGTGCGGCTTTTTATCTCTCAGGCTTGATTAAACCTGCGTGTTGTGAAGAACATTTTGAAGCTTCCTCAAATATTTTCAAAAAGCAACGAGGAGAGGTCCGTGCCAAACAGCACGCTGTGGAAAAAACAGAAGGAAAAGTGCAGTGAAGAGGAGCAGGCTACACAATTCCTTGATAGCTGGTGAACCGGCTTTGTCAAACCCAGGCATCTGTGTGTGTGTGTGTGTGTGTGTGTGTGTGTGTGTGTGTGTGTGTGTGTGTGTGTGTGTGTGTGTGTGCACACTCTGCACGCGTGCACTCACAAATTGGCCATGCCATGTATTTCTGGGCTGTGTTTCTCGGGGGCTTTTGGGATCTAATTTATGGCGGACGGGGGGAAAAAGAAGAAGGTTCATTCGTTTGGGTTTGCCATTTAAGCTTGAATGAGTGTACATGAAGAGAGGACGGGAGGAGAACATGCATTTAGAATGGGTTGAATGGGTGGAGGAAGAAACATGAGAGGATGTTCGGCGTACTCGAGGACATGGAAAGTGGACTTTGTCCGTGATAAAAGAAACACACCCCCACCCCACTAAGAAATACAAGAAAAAGTCTAATTTTGGGACCCGGGCGGCTTCTCATACATGAGCTTTGAATGCATAATGAAAGCATTTTCTCTGAGGTTGCTTGCTCAAAGAGTCTGGGATATGTATTTATAGCCAGCGTGTGTGTGTGTGTGTAAGTGTGTGCTCACTAACTTGTTTTTATATTAGCATTTCAATATCCGCTTAATGAAATGTTTCTTATTTTCAGCATCAGTGGGCGCTGCTGCTGCTGCAGTGTGCATCTCTCTGTCCTCCTTTTCTCTGTGCTGTACATCCACTTCTCTCTCTCTCTCATGCACGCACACCCTCTCTCGCTCTCTCTTCCTGCCCGTCTTTCTCCTCCCTCTGTTTTCCTCTTTATATTCTCTTTAATTCCTTCATCCCTCCCCCCTTTTTTTCAACTTGATCTCCCTCCCTCCCTCCCTCCCTAACACACTCTCTCTTTTGCTCTCGCTCTGAGTCGTGCACATGCAGACAGAGGGAGAGGGGGGATGAACGAGGTGCACACATGAGGATCTCCTGAACTGCCGGGGCAAGGCAGGGCTGGTGAAGAGAGAAGAAGAAGAAGAGGAGGAGGAGAACTAGAGGAATACTGCAGTGGCCAACCAGCTTCTTTTCCCTTCTGTATTTCTTTCTCTCTCTCTCTTTTCTCGCTGCTCCACTGCTTCCATCCCCTTCTCTCTCCCTGTGCCAATTATACCATGAACCTGCCTGCTGCTTGTTGCTAAGGGGAAGCCAGCCAGGGGGAGCCGAGTGGACCGGGCGATATTTTGTTGTTAAGGTAATAAAATGCTTCAGTATCAGCAACTGTCAGGTGTCACAGATGTTGCACTGCAGACGTTCGCCTGCCTCAAGTGAACAGGGCTTTGGGACTCGCTGTTTTTATGGCTCTGGCTGTAACTGGAGCACGGCTTGTTGCGTGGCTCTTTCTGCAAGCTCTCTGCCAGTTTTATTCCAGTTTGTTTCAGTTGACCGGGCATCTGTGGACTCACAGGGGGTCTGCCTCTGTGAATATGTGTGTGTGTGTGTGTGTGTGTGTGTGTGTGTGTGTGTGTGTGTGTGCGTGCAATGTCCTTTTGTGTTTCCTCATGAATTGGATTTTGCTGCGTGCTTAGATTTGTGGATATGCATGGGTAGAAACACACGCACACACACATACACACATGTGGTGTACATGAGGGCATATGTGGCCTACTTGGGTTTCTTTCAGCAGCTCTCAGTATGCCTGTTTCATCTGTTTCTCTTGGACAGGCGTCTGTGGGTTTGCATGTTTGAGCAGCTTCATTAGAAGGAAGTTGCTCTCCAGAATTACAGCTTTGAACTACTGGTACACTATTGTTTTCTTCGAACAGGTGCTATGCAATCCATACCTCCTCTGTCTGTATACGACCCTTGAGGCAGGCGCAAAGATTAGCTGTCTAATGTGCTCAGACTCTAAAAAGAGCACAGACGTGTTAGCCAATGAGGAGTGCTGCACTCTGCACTTCTGGTGGCAATAACAAACAGTGAGGAAAGAGCGGATGATTACTTATTCACTCATGCGCATCACCATGCTCTACGGTGTAATAAATGAAAGCTACAGTGACGAAGCCACCTTGCACGGCTGCTGCCGTTCGAACCGGTAACACCGATGATTCCCCCCCCCCTGTCTCCGTCACGGCTATTGTCTTCAAAAGTTGAAGTAAGTTGTAACATTGCGAGTTGCAATTATATAATACAGCCACTCCAAATCCCCCATGCCAGCTGCAGGTTTAATGTATGAAGGTTTCATTTGAGCACGCTCACGTGTCCCTGTCATAAAATGCCATCTGTATCCACTATTCTTTGCCCCTCGGTAGCTTATCACAGCTCTGTTTAAACACGAATAACTGTCAACAACAATGAATTGCAGCTTTCTTCTCTCACACCAAAAATTAAGGATGTGTTAAACTATGTGATCTACTTCCTCACCAGTCTCATCTCCCAATTAAAGGACCAGCAAATGGTTAAAAAGCCATTTTACATTTTACAGGTACCTCGAATGCAAAAGGAGCTGAGAGGGCTTGTGAAGCACCAGTCACCAGGTTATGAAAATCCTTACTTAAGCAGAATTAATTCCGTGTGTGTGTGTGTGTGTGTGTGTGTGTGTGTGTGTCTGCTTAGAGAAAGTAAATAAATCCCTTAACAGCGGCTCTCAAAGCATGAAGCCTGGGGGAGGTTAATGTTGGGAGTGCAGGCAGATCAGAGGTAACCATTGTATGATTGCAGCTAATGGAGTCAACATTTACTTATGCTTAGCATAAAAACAACAACAAACACAGTGGCCAGCGCTAACCACGCTCAAAGCCACTATCGGTATCACCTCGGTGAAGGTTCATTCATTATGAACATCAGCTTTCTGTTAAGATGAGTCATCAACGTCGCAGCCGCACTCAGTGTGTGCTGAGGACACCGACATCTGTGCTTTATACATAATTAGTGCCTTCCTGATTCCTCCTTGCTGACACACTTTACTGCAGTGGCAGTTTTATATAAGATGAACTCAGATGAGGTTATCTAATAGTGTTAATTGCAAATATCTTGTGCATCTACCTGTCTGCATACGTCAGTGTTTTGTTATGCTATTGAGCCCACTACTCTTCCACATCAGCGCTTCTTCATTGGGCTACTTTGAGTATTTCCTTTGAGGTAATTATTAACTATTCCAGTTGTCCTTCCATTATTTCCAGCTATTTATTTCAACCTTTATCCACAAACTGTTGAGCATTCCCAGCTCAACTGTTACCACATCCTTAGCACTGACTTTATTTATGTAGTTACAGTCTTTATTTTTCAAATTAAACAGAGCTACACGGCAACCTCTCGCACAGCCCCTGGCAACTGCAGAAACACCCGCTGAGGTTAAGGTATTGTGTGTTCACGATCTGGCTTTGTGGCTTATTTATTATTCATCCTACATCGGCCTACCTGGGCCCTTTTATCTGCCTCTGCTATGACAGGCGTCCTCTTTTCTTTCTTTTTTTTGCTTTTGAGACAGCAGCATGCGTTTTGACAGCTGAATGTCACTCCGATAAAGGCTGGAGAACTTTTGGTTCTCGGGGGAAATGCAGTTATCGTCTGATGTTTGTCGTTTTTCATTTTGTTTTCTTCGACCCTTCAGCGGATGCCGGATGCTGTCTTCTAATGGTGCGTTTGCTTTTCTTGACAGGATTTAGAGAAAATGGCAGAAGGGTCCAAAGACCAGGGAGGAACGGGCACCGCTGATCCCGAGGAGGACTCCCCCAATATGATCGTCTACAGAAAGGCAAGTCTGCGTGTGCTGTGCTTTCTGTGAGATGGGAAAAAGACTTTGCTGAGAGGCAGTGACCCGTATACGGGCTCCTGACAGCTCACTGGTCTGTATGAATGTGTATCTACCTCACACACACTGGTTTCACTGTCAGGTGTCAGGAAGCCTCTTTCCACTGTCTTACAACAAGCTCCTGTCTCTTCGGGACCCACTTCCTACTACTGTATCCCAACACTGGCAAACCCGAGCCCAGCAAAGTTTTAATAAGTTTTCAGTCCCTTCGGTGGATGGTTTTGGCAGCAAGAGGGCCTTCGGTGACATGTGTAATTACCACATCCCCATAGTGCCTTCACTTCCACTAGCTGCTGTTTGATTGGAAAGGTTCAGCAGTATTGGAGGTTAATGGTGTCGAGTTTTTCGGCTGGGGAGAAGCGGCTGATTCTCCAGGGCTGGTTCTTTCTCCTCAACCCACGAATTACTTCTTTATTCCTTTGCGAGCACTATGACAGCCCACTCAACAAAAAAGAAAAAAAAAAGAATTATACAGCTTCTTTTGATCATTTGATCAGACTTTAACTACAGGATCGGTCTTGGTTATGGTAAAATATGAGCTACGAGCCTGCCTCTGTAAGCTGCCCCCAGTCTCGTGTTTCATCCTGCTTTTAATCACCGTCCCTTCATATGTCCAGGCAAACAGATTAGGGAAGAAATCCAGAAGAGCAGGTGCGAAATAGATGTTGACAGTAGCGGCATCGCTTGATAAAAATGTTTTCCTTTTAGGCATGTTGTTAACTATGTGCCACTGTGGAGCTTTAAGGCCTGGTGACAGCCTGAGGAAATCTTTGTAATAAACACTCGAGTGTGCCACTCACCTGGAAAAAAGTGTCAGGCTGAATCTTGATGAATCACTTCTCATAATGATGCCGTTGGCATTTTGTGCTATGATGGTGTCACATGCATTTGGCGAGATAAGAGTCGGTGGAAGTGCATTGCCAGCAACAACTCGGTCGTACTGTAAACACTCTGCCTGCTCGGATAGCAGCGGGGGCGTTTTACAATCTCCCATAATGATCGTCAAATCAGCGCTACCAAACCTAGATTTCATGCCATGTGTCATAACTGTGGCTCTTCTACACGGCAGCAGGTTATTTATGCAGCGTTGTTCATGTTCATCCATTCTGAGAGGCTCTCGAGTTGGTAGAGGAGAACATATAGCTGCGGTAACACTGGGTACTTCCACGGATTTCACTGTACAGCTTCGTTACGTAATGCTACACATGTCTGGAGGCGGCGTATTTAAGAGGCTTGTTGGGATGCTGCCTTAGGGAATATTCATCATTCCATGTTTTACTCACATGCAGTGACAACAGACAGATGATTCAGATGACAGGATTTTCCGCCTTTCCTGTTTTTGAAAAGGCGATTTTTGATTTGAAGCTTTTGAGAAAAAAGCCAAGCAGCCGGATAATCGAAGGTATCTTTGACAAAATCTTGGAAAGGATTAAATACTAAAAGCATTCGCTGCGGTCTAAACCTGGTGGAGTTTCTTGCATCGTTGCTTTACCTACGTGCCTGTCTAATTTAAGATGTCGAATAGGTCAAGCAGAATAGAGAGGTGCTGGGACTTTGAGGGCTCAGCGCGCATGGCCTCTGGACTCAGTGGGTGGGCAGCCTGGCTCAGTGTGAAGGTGCTGCATGCAGAGAGGCAGATGGCCACCAATATGTTGCGCCGCCTGGGAAAACACTGGCAGCCTCATCCTCAAGGCTCAAACCCACAGCTGGGAGACATCAGGATGTTTCTGCAAGGAGGACTGTGCAGACTCGATCAAAGGATAAAAATATCGCAAAGCGAAAGTGCAAAATGCATGGATGCTTTAAAACGCCTTCCCTTCTGCTGCCACATCTACTGCAAAAAGTGTTAAGTTATCGGTGTGGGCAGTTAGACAAAGGTGAAAGTGATGTATTTAGCCATTAGAGAGGCTGAGTGCTCGCAGAGAAGAAGAGGAGGTTGTCTCTGTCCGTGCGGCGTAGGTGCTGCAGTACTATCTTACTCTGTCTCTGTCCTCCTATGAAAAGAAGGGGAAGTGAAGCAAAACAATCCAATAACTGCAGAATGTCTTATTACCTCGGGAGCTCGCAGGAAAGGGGAAAAAAGACGTACACACCCTTGGAGACAGCTTGATGCACGCTACCTGTTCATTGTTGTGTTTTCCTCTGCCACGCTCATATGGTGGAGATGAACAGGACTGGCACTGAGGGGGGGGGGCACAAAAATGAAACTCCAAGCGCCACGAGAAACACTACAGTGCAGGGAAATGCAATTACTCTGAGGAGAGAGGCCACACACTGCTCGCAAACTATTAATAGCCAACATCTCTCGTCCCTGAGCGTGTCGTTCGCTTCTTCTCCTCCACGCTTCGGCCCGAGACTCTTCTGAATTGTGACGCCTGCCTGGCTTTTGACACACGCAGCTAATTAGACGAATTAAAGTACCCCTGTCCTGCCCAGGGAGAGTCAAGGATTTGACTGCTTCCCACCTCCCTCTTCGCTTAAGTCAGGCTATTAAATGTTAGATTGGATAATCCTTGGCAGTCTACATGTACCCAAAGGCGAGTTTTACAGCTTTTTGTGTGTGTTACAGCCCACGAGACTTATATCTAGATGGAATTAAGGGTGGCTTAGTGGGGAAATATTAGTAATGAACCATCATACCAGGAAGTTTAAAGACACTACTTGGTGTCAGTGGACTTTTGGGATGTGCGTGTAAGCTTTAACAGTCTGTTAAGAGACAGTGCAGTCTGGTTCCCAATTACAGTGGTGAAGACACTCCAAAAGTTTTCATCATTAGTGCGAGAAAAGCCTCACATAAGATAAAGTACAGAAAATCTACACTGTCAAGGACAGTGAGGGGTGGGTTAGTGAATGGATGAACTGTCTGTCAGATATTTTTGGTCACCTGAAGCGCTGCCTCATGGTGATTGTAGCCACAGTGGTCTCCTTTCTCTTCAGTGGTCTAGTACTGATCTGTGTCCGATCAGTTATTTAATCACTGCATCTACAGAGGTGGATGAACCTCAGATACTTGTCTACACTGGTGGCAGTACTTTTATTGTGCTGATGTGTTTCTTTCAATCAGCCGGTGCGCTATAATCTCCAAAGCAGCTGTTAATTTTCCTCCATATGGTAAATGGTAAATGGTCTGTATTTATATAGCGCTTTACTAGTCCCTAAGGACCCCAAAGTGCTTTACATATCCAGTCATCCACCCATTCACCCACTGGTGATGGCAGCTACATTGTAGCCACAGCCACCCTGGGGCGCACTGACAGAGGCGAGGCTGCCGGACACTGGCGCCACCGGGCCCTCTGACCACCACCAGTAGGCAACGGGTGAAGTGTCTTGCCCAAGGACACAACGACCGAGACTGTCTAAGCCGGGGCTCGAACCGGCAACCTTCCGATTACAAGGCGAACTCCTAACTCTTGAGCCACGATCGCCCCAAATAGATCACTGGGTGCTTTGTTTTTAATTTTGAACATCTGAGGTCATAAGTTGTTTATATGTACTACTTGTGTTTATTATCAAATACCAGAAATGTTTTCAAAAATATTAGCATGCTATAATACGAAACTACAGTGAAAGTGCCACTTAGCCCGGCCTCGCAGAGCTGCAAGCATTGCCGTAGACTGTCGACTTTCTTTTAGTTTCCACTGTCCCTATTTCTTTATTTCAGCCTTTCTTTTGCTTCTTGATGATTAATAATTAAAGTCCATTTCAAGCATTCCATCTTGGAAAAAAAATCGGGTCCTCTGAGACATCATATCCCCTCTCTCACCGTTCATTTATTCATACCGAGCACATTTTTTTGTGATGGCTCTGTATTTTTGTTCCTGTGTGTGCTTCTAAACGTGAGGAGAGTCGGACCGCTGGGGGAAAAGAAGAGAGGCTGGAAAACGATATATGTATAAGCATGAAGTAGAGCTGGGCGATATATTGAGGTTTTTAAAAAAAAATATCGATATATTTTTATACGAGATATAAGATGTGACAATATCCTTTATATCGATATAGTCTATGTTACGTTATAATTATAGTTGTGGAGCCGCAGGTTTGCCTCTCTTTCGTCTCTACACAACGTTACTCTGCCTCGCCCCTCCTTCACTGAACACAGCTCCCCCTCCTCCCCCATCGCTTCACCTGCAGGAAGCGACAAGATGGACACGGCAAATCTCCGTTAACGAGTTATTGCGCATCGCCCCGTGCGTGGGGCTGGACGCCGTCAACGTGTTAACGAGCTAACCACGCTAACGCCATGCAGCCCAGAGGGGCTGCACGGCCTAAAATCCTTGCATTCTCTCAATAGTTGACAGCGCGCCTTTTGTATGAATTCTGGTTGTGCTTGATGGCCGCGAACCGATCTTATGTGGTACACGGCGCTCAGCAATCTGTCAATAAATGTTTGAGTACGACTTTGCTAAGCTACGGAGCTGCACCGCTTGATGGATTGTCGGAGCATTACGCCTACCGAGGAGCCTCGTGGAGTGATACGTACTGTGCTTCAACGTAATATTACCGTATTGTGTGTTTATAAGGACCATAAATGGCACCTGTAAGAGACGTGGTTACGAAGCGGATTTCAAACTCCAGGCTGTCAGTCACGCAGTACAAGTTGGGAACAGAGCAGCTGTGAAATCTGTCTTTGTTATTGTGCTCAGCGTCTGTTAGTTTACATTCTGACTGCACAATTGTGAGCTCTTTGTTATGCACAAAAACAACAGTTTTCTTTTATTTATTATTTAATAAATGCTCATAATTTATTTTTGAGTAGTTTTTTTCATGTACATCTATGCTGTATGTTAATAAAAGTGCCTGTGTGACATCTGGGACACAGCTTTGACTATGAACTCTCTTTTTGTTCTTACTGTATGGCTTTAAAAAATATATATATATCGAGATATATATCGTATATCGCCATCCAGTTAAAAAATATCGAGATATGAATTTTGGGTCCCAGC